AAGAAAACCATGTATCCAGATACAAAGGAACTAGTCTTAATGGCATGGTACATGTATTCTGCTTTTAACTGTATAGCAACACTGCTTACTGCCCTGTGCATGTCAAGTACTTTTAGCAATGACATTCCAAAACAGTGCTATTACCTGGCAACAACAAATGCCCAACTTAGCACAAAAAATATTCCTGAGCCCCCCCAAATAAAATAGAATAGTATACATCTTTTCACCAATACCAGAATTTGTTTTGCTGAGAGAAACACAGTTGACCTCTATTAAGCGTCTGGTAAACAAAGTCCCAAAATAATTGCAGAAAAGAATAATCGTAGAGTTCACCTCTATTAACCTCATCTCCTGTGTAGCCACTCTGGCCGGAATCACACAATGCTCCCTGGGGGGAGGAGGGAGTGGGAGGGGATAGCATTGCATGACTTCGGCCCAAGGGGCTGCAGAGACCATTTTTAGTACATCCACCTCTATCAAGTGGCTATAGTCACCGTTTCGTCATCCCAATGATCAGAGTTCTCCAATTGTTGCCACATCTATAAAGCCACCATCAAGCACTTGATACACTTGTTTGGTTTTATTCTAAAATATGATAAAGGAAATGCAGTCCATATGAGATAGAATGTGATGACTGTTTGTGGATCAGTAATGCTACTCCCACATGTGTCTGTAAAATAAAGTGATTTTTGTGCTAAGGATTATGCTAACTTATGATAAACCGCTTTTGACTGGGCAGCCTCCATTAGGTGGCCACTTGCTGGTACCTCGGGTGTGGCCAGTTAATGCAGGTTCAACTGTATTACCTGCCTTCCTACACCAGAGTCAGTAGAGTTTAAATAATTAATCTTCCTTTTTATTGATGCCTTCTATTGTATATTGAAGTTGCAAAGCACTTTGTATAACAACAGTTTCTAGTAACAATGAACCAATGAACCACAAAGGTGCGTAGTCAAACGTGATCAAACCCATGATGTTGAAATGAGTGTAGCCTCTGTAATCCCAAGGACACGCGTTAAACTGCCGCAGTACTAACCCCGTAACAAACTCCCACATGTATGTCCAAACGACGTATATCAACCCCCGTACCAGCAAAGGAACTCGGCCATCGAGAAATAAAAACATTCGCTCAACAGCGAACGAAGACAAAGCGTAAATGGGGAAGGACCAAACAGAGGTGCAGCCATGGAGTTTCCAGCCATGACGATACTTAGCAGAGTCGACAAAATACCAAGTTGCCGTGAACATGACTTCAGCAAAGAGGCCACACAAGCCGTAAAGAATGAGCCGCGAAGCTAACGGTAGGCATTCCTTCCCAAAAACGGCTTTCTTGTTATTTCTTGCGTCTAGTCTTGCTCCGCATTCGGTACAAGGAATATCACCATTTATCACCTCGGTCATGATTTGGCTGACAAAACAGGATGATCTTCCGGAGGGACGTTAAAGAGGAACCGAAACCGGCCCGCCGGAGGTTTGTTTGGCTTACAGGGAATATTACCAACAGGCTCAATTTTCAGCGGCTTCACGTCTAAAAAGCAAAAAGTACATTGGCATTTGCGCCTGTCCCGAAAGGTGAAATCCGCTGTAATTTTAACGGCCGCGTAACGCACGTTGCGTCTTGTGTCAGTTTTCATCATGAAGAAGCAAAAGCGAGCAATAAAGCAGAAGTTACTTGTCAGTGAAACTTGCAAACTGGAACTAAAAGGTAAGTGTCAGTGTTTTTTGATGGGTGGATTGATTGCATCTGATGCCATGGCGTGATCAATCCGGACCAGGATTCAGGATCCCCGATCCCCGGGCCCCGATCGTATCACTCGGATCATGGTGCATCAGAGGAACCGCAAAATCTCATCCGGACAGGGATCCACTGGTATCTTTGACGCACCAGGATCCGAGTGATCTTAGATCTAAATCCTGATAAAATCATCCAAAAGGAATGACCCTAAATCTTATAATGTGATCTGAGGGTATCTTTGTGCCAGCGGTGATTTCCAGGTGAAAGTGAATGTGATGCTCCAAAAAAAATTTGAATTAGCACATGTAATCACTTGAACTTGAGGGCAAGTAAGGATTAATGTCACAAGTACTTTCAATCATTTTTCTCAAAATTGGCCACATAAATTGCAAAGTGACACATGCAATTTGGAAAATTTTGAAAATACCAGGGTCATTAAATATTGGGTCAGTGTAAAACTCAGACTGCGGACTGCGGACCAGGGGTAAAATGCAGACTGTGTGTAAAATGCAGACTGCAGACTAAGAGTAAAACGCAGGTTGGGGTAAAATGCAGACTGAGCATAAACTGTAGTCGCGGAAGGGTTTAAGGGCAAAAAAATCCCGCAAATACATGTAAACAAACACTTAGTTGACGACATCTGCTTTCACAAATCCATTCCTTTCTTCTCTGGAACGTCGTCAACGACCCGAAAAACATAATCGAAATCTTGAACCTTTTTTTTCCGTCTGAGAGACTTCACGCCCCGGGGGGGGGGGGGGGGGG